CTCTCGGTCCCACCCTCTTCGCAAGCGCGACTGGCAGGGACAAGAGACAGGTCCTTCTCAGTGGTGGCCCCTTGGCTATGGAACTCCCTCCCCAGTGGAAACAGATCAGCATCCTTCCTCTTGGCCTTCAGTAAGAAAGTAAACAAATGGCTGTGGGACCAAGTTTTGGGTCAGTAAAGCAATGCAATGCAAGAAATTTATTTATTATTTATTTACCCTATTTATACCCCGCCTTTCTCTACCTCAAAGGGGACTCGAGGCGGCTTACAACAGAAGCAATTACTCAACACTTACACAAACACTTACAATTCCAAAATACTAAAATTAAAAATTAAGTTAAAATTAATACATATTAGATATTTAAAACCATTAAATTCCTTATTAAAATCATGCCATCCATAATCATAGTCCGAGGCCATTCTGTAGTCATTTCACATATTTCAATTATATTATATTACTGTACTGCTTCTCCGAAGGCCTGGTCGCAGAGCCAGGTTTTTACTCTGCTTCTGAAAGCTAGGAGGGAGGGGGCTGATCTAATATCGCTGGGGAGGGAGTTCCATAGCAGAGGGGCCAACACTGAGAAGGCCCTGTCTCTTGTCCCAACCAGCCGCACTTGTGAGGGGGGTGGGAATGAGAGCAGCAAGAGATATGGATTATGTGCAATTGACAATTGGAATGGCTCCAGATTATGTTTTTTGGATTGTGCAGTTTTAATGTAAATGTTAAGATGTTTTAATTTTATAGTTTTCATGTGAGTGTGTATTTTAACTTATTGGTCTGTTTTATATGGCATTGAATTGTTGACACATGTAAGCCTCCTTGAGTCCCCCTCGGGGTGAGAAGGGCAGGATATAAATATGGTAAATAAATATGGTAAATAGGTTTTTCGGGCTATATGGACATGTTCTAGAAGCATTCTCTCCTGATGTTTCTCCTACATCTATGGCAAGCATCCTCAGAGGTTGTCAGGTTACAACCTCTGAGGATGCTTGCCATAGATGCAGGCAAAACATCAGGAGAAAATGCTTCTACATGGCCATATAGCCCGAAAAACCTACAACAACCCAGTGATTCCAGCCATGAAAGCCTTTAACAATGTGGTAAATAAATATATCAGACTATCTGTTTAAAGTGTTAGCTCTGTGATTTTCTAGGCAACAGCTTTCTTAATCAGTATCTTACCTTAAACATGTGTATACACTATACCCCATCTCTTGCTTCTTCCATTCTTTCCAGGCCTCCATGCTATTGCTCCTGTCGGCCAAGAGTTCATCACAGCCTTCATGCAAAATTACAAGCTGGACTATCCTCAGATTCAGTTCCAGCTCTTCATCTCCAGCTACTCATCATCCACTGCGGTCACAGTCTCAGTCTACAAATCTAAGTTTGAGAGTCACTTTATTGTTGCCAAGGGTCAAACAGTAGCAGTGAAGTTGCCAGCTGAAGTAGAGATGGTTGGCACTGTCAAATTCTGCTATACTGTCTTGGTGAGAGCTGATCAAGACATCTCTGTATTGGCCTTGAACGCAAAGAAAAATTCAGCTGATACCACCATTGTCTATCCAGTCCACAGTCTTGGGGATGAATACTATGTGCTTACACCTCCCGGAGATCTGGCCCAGTCTTACAAGGAGTTCTCTGTGATTGCATGGAATGATGAGACTGCAGTGGAAATCTACCTCAAGGGTAGCGTGAGATTCCAAGAGCGCATCTACCCAGCAGGCAGCAAACTGAGTGTAGTCCTTCCACCTTATGAAGCTGTGCAGTTCCAGAGCCGGGAAGATCTGTCTGGCACCCTCATCCGAGCGGTGCATCCAGTAGCAGTGCTGAGTGGACATACCTGTGCCCACAAGAACACCAACTGCAACCATGTTGTGGAACAGCTGCAGCCAGTATCTAATTGGGGTCGGGAGTTCTTTATACCTCCTCTCGCTTTCCAGATGAACTATGATCTTGCATATATTGTTGCCTCCCAATACACTGTAGTCACCTATATATCTGGCAGGATACATACAAATTACAATCTGGTTGCCGGGCAGGTGCTTCAAATGAAAGTCACTCGTTCAAGCCCTATCTACATCACAGCCAATGTGGGCATCCAGGTCTTCTTTTTCTGCACTGGTGGTTCCTATTCTCAACTCACCTTTGATCCCTTCTTCTTGAGTATCCCTGATATGTCAAGTTATTGCACATCCTACTCTTTGACCAGCCATGAAGGTTTCAATAATTTTGCACTCATCATCACCGAGACCACCTCCATTGATGAGATCACCATTGATGGGCACTCACTGGGTGTATCCTATTGGAGAGAGATCCCAGGAACAGCCTATTCTTGGAGCGAATATAGCCTTGGGAATGAAGGAGGTATTCATTCCATGGCACATCCAAACTCTCCTTTTGGCCTCCTAACTTTTGGTATTGCTGAGAGGAATGCCTACGGAGCAATGGCAATCTGCCAGAGTGGTGAGTAATGGGATTTCTAAAGCAGGGACTGAATTCCCAATGACCCCGCACAGCCATTCAAATATCTGGGTGAGCTTAGGGCCAGACACTTTCTCAAACTAATTCACAACTTAGGGTCACTGTGCAAATAAAATAACATAACTACTTGTCTTGAGCCTGAAGCACAAAAAGACTGAAAACATAACCTCTGAGGATGCCGGCCATAGATGCAGATGAAAAGTCAGGAGAAAATGCTTCTAGAACATGGCCATATAGCCCGAAAAACCTACAACAACCCACTAAAAAGATAGTTACTACTTCTGGGGAGGGAGAAATCTGCATCTGCAAGCCATGTTTATTTATTTATTTATTTATTTAAAAGTTTTATATACCGGCCTTCTCACCTCTCTTGAGGGACTCAGACCGGTTTCCAACCATAATATCACAGACAATCAATAAAACATAATTCATATTACAGTAAAACATTAAAACAGCAATTACAATCAATAACTACAATGGTCAGTCGTCACACTAAAATCGTTGCTCATCATCCTCATGTTGATCATCCTGGTCTATTCCTCTGTGTATTTTGGAGCAAAATTGATCCCCACAATAAAATTGGGATTGGTCATTTGTCCAAATATTGTCTAGCACTTTGATAGTGAAGTGGTGTTATTATTGTAATAATATCTGGGTTGCAGATCAAAAAGAGATGAGGAAATTTGAATCCAAATCTCTGTCTGATGTTTCCTTTCTCTCTATGATAGGATGGCCAACCATAGGGCTAAGCCGTAGTAACCCTACTTCCTCACTGCATCCAACTGCATTTTTTTTAAAAAAGTGTTTACCCCAGAATATAGCAGCCCCCAATAATGCAATGGGTTAAACCCTTGTGCCGGCAGGACTGAAGACCGGCAGGTCTCAGGTTCGAATCCGGGGAGAGCGCAGATGAGCTCCCTCTGTCAGCTCCAGCTCTGCATGCAGAAACATGAGCGAAGCCTCCCACAAAGATGGTAAAACATCAAAACATCTGGGCATCCCCTGGGCAACGTCCTTGCAGACGGTCAGTTCTCTCACACCAGAAGCGGCGTGCAGTTTCTCAAGTTGCTCCTGACATGAAAAACAAAACAACAACAAAACCCAGAGTTCCTTCAGATGTCCTCTGGGGGTGAGGGCTTAGGGATCCCTGGGCCATTTGAGGTCCAGCAAGGCTGATTTTTAGCAACAAGAAATGACTGTGATTTGGAGTAGAAAAACATGATCAAAGAACATGGGGCTGCTTTCTAATGGTCATCCATTTTTCTCTCCTCTCCTCACCAACATTTCCATTTCCGTCTCATTCTATTTCTGTCCTTTCTTTTTACTGCTTCACTTCTCTTTCCTAATAATAATAATAACAACAACAACTTTATTTTTGCATTCCACCTCCATCTCCCTGAAGGTACTCCGGGTACAAGCCCAATCAACATAGTTAAAATATAACACAACAAAATTCATAAAAACTTCATAAACAATATAAAACAAACCACATATAATGTAAAAACAACCATCTTTAACCTTGTGATTTTTTTTATGTGTACCAGTGCCTGTCCCTCAACCTTCCTGCAGTTCTACCCAGTGCCGGAAGAAAGAGACCTGCGAGATAATGAATGGCGATCCAGTGTGTGTGGCCCAGTCCTCTGCTACCTGCAGGGCACAGGGTGATCCCCATTACTTGACTTTCGACAAAAGGAAATACAACTTCATGGGTACCTGTTTCTACACTCTGGTCAAGACGTGTGGCTCAGACACAACTCTTCCAGCTTTTCACATTGCAGCCAAGAATGAAAACCGAGGCAGACAAAGTGTGTCCTATATTGGACTGGTGATGGTCCAAGTCTATGGCTATGAAATAAATATGGCTAGAAAGGAGTATGGTTTAGTCAGGGTAAGAATTCCTTTTCCTAATTGAACAAGCTGTCCCAAAAGTCTGTAGATCAAGTGGAACTACTCTCCATGGGATACATGATTTTGAAAAATGGAGAGATGCTTCCAAGTGATCCATGGGTATATGGAGGAAATTTTGACACATTAATGCTACCCAATATTTCACATATGAAAACTAAGAGGCATGTAAACAAGCAGCATTAGAGTATGGCAATGTTATTAATGAGGAAGCTAAGATAAGCTAGGAGAGGCTGAATTGGTTTGCTTTAGCCTGAGAGTACAGGGAAGGGAACGATTTCCTCTCTAACTCTCAATTTCTCCTTGTTGAGTTAATTCAGTGCAAACTACTTTTGTAATTCGAACTTAGTTTGTAGCACTTTAAGTAATTTCTGTCTCAAGCACTGAAGTCAGGAAAGGTTTCACTTTGTATAGACCCATAGGGACTGTCTAGTGTGGTGGTTCTCAACCTTTGGGCCTCCAGGTGTTTTGGATTTCAACTCTCAGAAATCCCAGCCAACTTACCAGGTGTTAGGAACTGTGGGAGCTGAAGTCCAAAACACTTAGAGCAGTGGTTCTCAGCCTGCGGGTCTCCAGATGTTTTGGCCTTCAACTTCCAGAAATCCTGACAGCTGGTGAATTGGCTGGGATTTCTGGGAGTTGTAGGCCAAAACACCTAGGGACCCACAGGTTGAGAGCCACTGACCTAGAGGCCCAAAGGTTGAGAACCATTTGTCTAGTGTCTACTACTTTTGGCTACTTTTGGCTCCTTCTTGTGGCACAATGTAGCCTGGGTGGGATATATTTAAGTCATAATTCATACATTTCTAACAATCACATTTATTTAACCAGGTAAATAACCAGTGGTCCCGGCTGCCCATCTCATTACATGAGGGAAAACTGCAGCTGTATCAAAGTGGGACCTTTATTGTCCTTGAGACAGACTTCTCTCTGAGAGTCTCATATGACTGGAACAGTCAACTGGTTGTGAAGATCTCTAGTAGCTTCTTTGAGAATGTTTGTGGCCTATGTGGTAACTATAATGGGGACCCAGCGGATGATTTCCAGACCCCTTCTGGGTCCTTAGCCCCAAGTCCTGTGGAATTTGGAAAAAGTTGGAAGATGAAAGATGGAGACCCATTATGCTGGAATGACTGCCATGGAGAATGCAAAGATGTTACCCTGGAGGTGCTCATCAAATACAAAGCAGAACCTTTCTGCGGCTGGATCAGCAAAAGAGAGAGTGGTCCATTCCATCAGTGCCACTCTGTCATTGATCCTGAGATCTTTGTCGAAAACTGTGCCTATGACTTATATATCTATGAAGGCCACAAAGAGGCTTTGTGTCAAGCACTGAAGAGCTATGCGGATGCCTGCCAGAGAGAAGGAGTGGCCATATCTGATTGGAGAAGACTCACTGGCTGCTGTAAGTAAAAGATACACACACACACACATGAATGTTTAATGTCATTACAATGCAGTGAAATCATGCCATGCCATAGGATGAAAAGCAAACAAAAATAAGGCAAATGACAATTTTGTTCGAGTGAGCAGATGAAAATAGGGCTGAAGAGAATATTCCAAATTAATTGATTTTTTTTAAAAAAAAAATTGTTACATGAATGCCAAGATATTCTGATGAGGGTAAATCTGGAATAGCCCACTTGAGAGTTACTGTGTGCAAAGTTAATAAATCAGGTTGTTGTTGTCTAGACAGTAAAGGGTGGTTTCTTTGCAGAAAGAAATGCTTTTGTGCAAAAATGTTGTTTTCTTTGTAGAATATCCTGTTGTTTACACAGAAATGTTGTCTTCCTACATACCTCCCATGTGAATTTCGTTCAGAATAATCTGCCAATTATTACAAAAAAATTCCACTCCTGAAGTTTGAGTAATTTGAAAAGAATAAGAACTGAACTTGAAATAGTGTGAGGTTTTCAAAGACTTCCTTAAAGTGAGGAGATAATTTGACTTCCTTTTAGAACCAAATTTGTGAAAAATTGTATGCTGAAATGAAAAATCATATATTATTTGCCTTCTAATGAATTGGTAAGCCCACTTCAGCCTCATTTCTTTAACATAAATGTTAGCAATGGGCTATTACTTTGCAATGCTTAAAAACAAAAACAAAAGTCTGGGCCCATGCATAAAAAGGAAAAAGTTTCCCCTTGACATTAGGTCTAGTTATGTCTATTTCTGGGGAGTGGTGCTCATCTCCATTTCTAAGCCAAAGAGCTGGTGTTGTCCATAGACACCCCCAAAATCATGTGGCCAGCATGACTGCATGGGCACACGCATGGTGAATAGTTATTTGTGATGATGACTCCACCTTTCTCCAGATATTGGCAAGAGTTGTAGTATGCATTCGTATTTGCCTTCAGAGTTTTGAATGTGGAGCTAGGATTCTGGAGATGAGAGCTTGAATTTCTGATCAGCCATTGAAAGCTACAAGTCATATCCATTCAGCCTCAAAAGGTTGAAACCTTGGGCACACAAAAATATAGGAGGTCTTTGCCATTGTCGAATCTCTTAGCTAGATCTAGGCCTGTTTGAGAAGGCATACTTTTATATCGGAAAAAGAGAGAATGAAATGGTGTGCCATGGTTACAACACATAATAATGCAATTTATTGGGGTGTAAATTTGATGTACCTGGTAGGAAAGGCATTCCTGTCATGTTGTCTTGGAAGCAATCCAATGAAAGAAACAATGCCTTTTTATTGTATATTTCTGCAGCTCTATCCTGTCCTGAAAACAGTCAATACAAACTCTGTGGGTCTGCGTGCCTTGCCACATGCAATGACCAAGCTCTGCCCACCAACTGTTCTTCTCCAGGATGTGTGGAGACCTGCCAGTGTAATAAGGGGTTTGTGCTGGAATCTGGGCAATGCATTCCACAGGCTGCCTGTGGGTGTGTCTTTGAGGGTCGGCTGTTGGCTCCCAAAGAAGAGTTCTGGGGAGACAACTCCTGTACAAGACACTGTGTCTGTGACCCTCAAAGCAAGCAAGTGAGATGTCAAGCTGCCAGTTGCAAGGAAGGAGAACAGTGCAAAGTGGAAAAAGGCATCCAGAACTGCTACCCAACAAGCTTTAGCACTTGTTCCGCCATTGGTTATTCCCATTACCATACCTTCGATGGGCAGAGTTTCAACTTCCAGGGCACCTGCCTCTACATGTTTGCTGGACTCACCAAGAAGAGTAAAGATTTGGTGGATTTCAAGGTCTTGGTACGGAATGCAGGCCAGGGTGGTTCATCTGTGTCTCTCAACAAGTTGGTCACGGTTCAAGTCTATGGCATGGAGATATCGATGAGCTGGACTTCCCATGGGAGAGTCATGGTGGGTCTACTTATTTTTTTTATTTACTGCACTTTTATCTCATCCTTTTCAGCCCAAAGGCAACTCAGGGCAGCGTACAGACTGGCAAAAATTAGATGCCGAACACACATAAATACATAGTTTAAAACAGGTTAAATCACATAATAAAGTTCATATAAAAACAATTTAAAACTATAAAAATAAACGACTTCCTGGTTTAAATCCATGTCTATTTGCATCGTTAAGCTGTTCCATATTTGTTCACAATACTGATTTTATCTGGTTACAATGAGGTTCCAAAAACTTGCTCGAAGAGCCAGGTTTTTACTCTTTTTCTAAAGGTCAGGAGGGAGGGGGGCGATCTAATATCCCCAGGAAAGGAGTTCCACACTCTTATTACTTCCATGAATGCTTCTGTTAAAAGTTCCACATATTTTGTTATGATTTTTTTTTTTGCTGTTTTGTGTCTAATTATGTTTATTATTTTTGGGCTTGGCCTCATATTAGCCGCCCCGAGTCCCCTTTGGGGAGATGGTGGCGGGTTATAAATAAAGATGATGATGATGATCTGCAGTTTACTAGTATTGTCCAGCTGACAAAGTCTCATGCATAAAGGAATACCAAATCGTCTTTCATTCTCACATGTAATCATAAATATTTCTAAAGTTTTATCCCTGTCGGAGGAGAGTTTTTGGAAATGTCATACTCAAGAATATTTTGGTGAAAAAAATATATTTAGCCAAAAAGTGTGGGTGTTTTTTATTGGTCCAAAACCTGCTGCCTGGCATCCTGTGAGTAACATATGTAGGCACAATGAAACATGCTGTTATTGTGACAATTGGCAGAATTCAGAACCTTGCCCTGAGATTCCTCTCTCCTGCCCTGAAGATTGGAAATGAAATGGCAGGCCCTGTGACCTGGCAATTGTATCCCACATCTTATTTAAGATAATCAGGCTCCGTTTTTGTTTTTTGTTTTTTGTTTTGTTTTTTGTTTTTGTTTTTTTGTTGTGTCAGGAGCGACTTGAGAAACTGCAAGTCGCTTCTGGTGTGAGAGAATTGGCCATCAGGTCCCGTTGGCACAATGGGTGTGGGCAGGACTGGTCGACCAACAGGTTGGCAGTTTGAATCCAGGGAGCAGGGAAAGCTCCCGTCTGTCGAGCTCTAGCTTCTCATGCGGGGACATGAGAGAATCCTCTCTCAGGTTGGTAAACATCAATCATCCGGGCATCCCTTGGGTAACGTCCTTGCTGATGGCCAATACTCTCACACCAGAAGCGACTTGCAATTTCTCAAGTCACTTCTGACGTGAAAAAAAATCAGGTCTCAAGTCATTTAGGGCATCAACATCCCCACATCAACATTTTGAAATGGGTGAGGGAACTGCTGGCTAGGTTTTGAGCAATATATTTTCCATTTTGTTGTTATGTGCCATCAAGTCATCTTTGACTTCACCAACTCTACGTGTAATGCCATCTTCTTCTTTTTGTCTTCCTCTCTTCATTTGTATCTCTGCCCCTAGGTGAATGGCTTACTAACCCACTTGCCCTATAGGATGGGCCTGAACCAAATTCTTATCTACCAGAAGGGCTGGAATGCTGTCATCGGAACAGATTTTGGCCTCACTCTTACCTTTGACTGGAAAAGTCATCTCACAGTCACTGTGCCAAAAACCTATGAAGGGGCTCTTGGGGGCCTCTGTGGCAATTTTAATAAAGACAAAGAAGATGGCCTGATATCCACTGATAAAGGGCTGGCTTCTAATTCAGCATTGCTTGGACAACATTGGAAAGTGGCAGGGTCCTTGGGATGTGAAGAATTGACTCCAAGAGAGTGCCCAGACTTGGAAAGCACTGCTCGCCATCAGCGAGTCCTCACTGCAGAATGTGGACTCCTTGTGGACAAGAGTGGCCCCTTTAGGGAGTGCCATGGCAAAATTGACCCAGAATTGTTTTTCCTGGATTGTGTGTATGATTACTGTACATCCAATGGTCAGAAGGCTGTTCTGAGATACATCATTGCTGCTTATGCTGAGGCCTGTCAAAGCATTGAGGTGACCATTTATAGCTGGAGAATCCACATATTCTGGAGTAAGTATAATTCAATGCTGTATCACTTCCCATTGATCTAGCTGGGCACACCGCAGCAAATGTTTTGGAAGAAGTTTTGAAAGATTATCCAGAAACCTATTTTCTTTTTTCTTTTGCCTGAAGTACAAGGAGCACTGTCCAAACCCTCCCTGTCCATTAGCTGCCAAGCCTCAGGGAGAATTCTCAGGCTGTTCAATAACCATTCATGGAGCAGGGAGAGAGACAGAGAGAGAGCAGAGTAAGGAAGGAGAAATGCTATGGTCCCCAATGTGGTTCTCTAAAACAGCGGTGGTCAACTGCAAAAGATCTTGGTTTTCACCCCATGCCCCTATTGGACCTTATATGTAGGTCCCCCTATGTAGCAGTTTTGGTCCTTTAAGCCAAGTATGGGCAAACCCATGCCTGGGGGCCAGATGCGGCCCCTTGAGCTCTTTACTCAGGCCCTCCTCTCTCTCACCATCCTATCCTTCTTTCTTTCTCTCTTTCCTTCATCCTTCCCTCCCTCCTTTCCTTCCATACCCCCCCCTCTATCTCCCTCCCTTCCACCCTTTCATCCTTCCTTCCTTCTTTCCTCTCTCTCTTCCTTCCTTCTCTCCCTTTTGTCTTTCCTTCCTTCTCTTTCCTCCCTCTTTCTCCCTCATTCCATTCCCTCCCACCCTTTCTTTCTTCCTTCCTTCCTTCCTTCCTTCCTTCCTTCCTTCCTTCCTTCCTTTTCTTTCCTCCCTCCCTCCTTCCTTCCCTTCATTCCTTCCACCCTTCTCTTTCCTTCCTCCTTCCTTCCTTCTCTTCATTCCTTCCATCCATCCTTCTCTCCCTTCCTTCCTTCCTTCTTTCCTTCCTTCCTTCTCATTTTCCTTCCTCCTTCCCTTTCTCCTTTTTGTCTATCCTTCCTTCTCTCTTTCCTTCGTCCTTCCCTTCCTTCCTTCCCTTCCACTCTTTTGTCCTTCATTTCTTCCTTCTCTCTTTCCTTCCTCCTTACCGCCCTCTCTCCCTTCCTTACCTCCTACTTTCTCCATCCATCCTTTCTTTCCTCCCTCCCTTCCCTCCCTCTTTCTCCCTCACTCCATTCCCTTCCACCCTTTCATCCTTCCTTCCATCCTTCCTTCTCTTTTTCCTTGCTCTTTCCCTTCCATCCATCCTTCCCTTTCATCCTTCCTTCCTTCTCTCTTTCCTTCTTCCTTACCACCCTCCTTCCCATCCTTACCTCCCTCTTTCTTCTTCCATCCTTCCCTTCCTCCCTTTTGTCCTCCCTTCCTTCTCTCTTTCCTTCCTCCTTCCCTTCCTTCCTTCCATTGCTGGGAAGTCAGTCCTCTTAGGAGGAAGCACTAGCATGCGGCCCCCAAGTTAGAAAGTTTGCCCTTGCCTGCTTTAAACCAATACATATCTTAAAAGATCTATCAGAATATCATCAAGCAAATTCGGGTGAAATTGAAAGAGGAAGGGAGCAATGTAACCTCTGATTTTGATTTCAACATATTTTCAGCTAATAGTTTCCATGTTCTAACATTTTTTCAGGTATGGTTGCATTTTGTGGTAGTTTTCAACCATTGTGGGAATTTTGGGGAAGAAAAAATTCCGCCAAATAGTATTTTTTAATATTTAGGGGGGCTGGGAGTTTTGCTCACCCCTGCTGCAGACAGAGAGGGAATGGGAACAAGCAGTGTGTTGAATGTAGCAGGACCCCACCCCTGCCCCTCAAGTAAACTTCTCAGGAAAAATCGCTTATAATAAAACATGTTTCCAAAGTATTTCTCAAAGTTGTGGATGTGGGAGGATATGAATTACAGAAGTGAATGTTAATTGATTGAAAATGAGTTGCCTTACTCTCTTCTTCCAGAACCAGTATGTCCCCAAAACAGCCATTATGAACTCTGTGCCCGGAGCTGTCAGCCAACTTGCCACAGCCTCTTCTCCCCTCTGCTTTGCTCATCACACTGCGCAGAAGGCTGTGTCTGTGATGAGGGGTTTGTGCTCAGTGGGGGACGCTGTGTCCCCATGGCTCAATGTGGTTGCGCCTATCAGGACTCCTACTATTCCATTGGGCAAACCTTCTACCCAACCAGCAAGTGCAATGTGGAATGTGTTTGCCAGGCTGGAGGAGATGTTACCTGCAAGCAGATCTCTTGTGGTCCCAAGGAAAAGTGCAGCATAGTAGACGGTATTGCAAAGTGCCATCCAGTTGCTTCAGCCACTTGCTCTGCCTCTGGTGATCCTCATTACACCTCCTTTGATGGACTCCACTTTAACTTCCAAGGCAACTGTACTTATGTCCTTGCCAAGACGGCCACCAAGGGTAGAAACAGCTTAATTCCTTTTACAATAAGAGAAGAAAATGAAGCCTGGGGAAGTGGAAGAGTCTCAGTCACTAAGATGGTATCGCTGGAAATCTATGGCTTTACTCTTACTCTTCTGCAAAACAAAAAGGGACTGGTCATGGTAGGTTTTTTAATGTCCTCCATTCAATTTATTATGAAATTATCCATCTATCTCTATCTATCTATCTATCTATCTATCTATCTATCTATCTATCTAAATGCTCTGTTCATTTTGAGTGACATCATAACTCAAAATCCGCTGGACAAATTGCTGCTAAATTTGGCCACAAGACACCTACTAACGCAAGTAATTACCATCACTCAAAAATTTGATTTTGTCATTTGGGACATTTCGTTGCTGGGATTAATAGTTCAGTTAAAGAGAATTCTGAAAGGGATGCCTTATCTCAGCTTCATTGAAAGGGCGTTGAGGGAAAACGATCCCAGAAAGGGTGGTTTCTTAAGCCTGATGCCTTTAATCCAGGTTTTATTGAACAATATAAAGATACCAGAAAGGGCTGTTTCTTAAATCTGATGCCTTTAATCCAGGTCTTATTGAAGGATTTAAAGAGAAAGTATTTCAGAAAGGGTGGTTTCTTAAGTCTGATATTTTTAATCCAGATCTTATTGAAGGATATGAGGAAGAAAGGCTCCCAGAAAGAGTGGTTTCTTATGTCTGATGCCTTTAACTCAGGCCTTATTGAAGGATTTAAGGAGAAAGGATCCCAAAAAGGGTGGTTTCTTAAGTCTGATACCTTTAATCCAGGTCTTATTGAAGGATTTAAAGATCCCAGAAATGGTGGTTTACGAAGCCTGATGCCCTAAAAAAGGACAGAAAGGGGAGCCTCGTAAGTTCCCCATTGCTGCCAATGGACTGGATCTTCCCGGATCTTTCAGATCAGGATCTAGGAGGTCCACCGAAATTCGGATAACAAAAACGGAATGGAGTTTAACCAAATTGCACTAATTTATGAAGTCCATAGATACATTATAATAAAAGGAAAGCCTCATGAGGAGTTTAATTGAAGCTGCAACTCCATTATGGAACTTAATTATGTGTGTTCATCATTTAATCTGGCAGTTTACATTTGTTACAGTACACCTTTCCAAATATAATCACTTAATAGTCTTCTGCAAAATGAAATCCTGCGGTTCAAAGGATCCAAAATGGAGTTCCTGTAATATAAAATGTCCCCATATTCCATTAGGTTTGGAACCAATCTAGGAAATGCTAGATTCCAGTAATATCCCATTGTTAATCTTGACTAAAGTAGACCTGCTCTGATTTACTAATGCATCAATTCACCATTTAACAATTGATTGCACTGGTCAATTCGAGTTGGTGCTAATTGACAGGATTCCAGCCAATGTATACTTGTATTCTGTGCCTTGTGGATGGATATGCCCATGTACAGCTGTTTTCAAGCATCCACTTTCAAATAGTCTTGTTGAGATATGTTGACTCAGTGGTGAACACCACTTAAACCAGGACAATCTCAAATCCATTGAAAATATCAACTTGGCTTGACCAAGCTGTGAAGAATGGCTGTGAGAACTATGACTATGACAAGGACATCCAGGGATCAGTTATTCTCAAGTTCAATTTTCTGACCATTAAACATCCATACTTGGTCTGCTAATCTCTCCCCTCTCCCTTCTTCTCCTTCTTCTTCCAGGTGAATGGAATATTCCAGTCTCTTCCCATAATCCTTTCAGGAGGACAGCTCCGAGCCTATCAGCATGGCACTAAAGTTCAGATGGAAACTGGCTTTGGACTCATTGTGAGCTATGACTTGGTTTACCACGTGACAGTCACTGTCCCAAGCACTTACCAGGGTCAAATGGAAGGCCTATGTGGGAACTACAATGGGCAGAAGGATGATGAGTTCCTGCTCCCTGGTGGCAGCAAAGCCTCTAATGCAGCTGCTTTTGGTGCTGCTTGGAAGGTTCTAGTCCCAGGGGCAACTGGAGCCTGCTCAGATGGATGCTCAGGAAGTGACTGCCCAACCTGCGAGGAAAGAAAGATGGACATTTTCAAGCAGCACAACTATTGTGGGATCCTCACAGCATCAGATGGCCCCTTCAGAGCCTGCCACAGCAAGGTGGACCCCAGTGTGTATTTCAATGATTGCATCTATGATCTTTGTGTGGGCAATGGAGACAGTCCGGTCTTATGCCAAAGCATCCAGAGCTATGCGTCTGCATGCCAAGAGGCGAAGGTCCCCATCCAACCCTGGAGGAGCCCAGAGTTCTGCCGTGAGTACCATAATGAATCCCACCTTTATATGCTTTGAATATTCTTCTGCTTATAAGAAGTAGCACTCCTGAAGTCTTTCCTTGATGTTACAGAGATTCAGGCCCCTTTTACACTGCCATATAATCCAGGTAATCAAAGCAGATAATCCAGATTATCTGCTTTGAACTGATTATATGAGTACACTGCCATATAATTCAGTTCAAAGCAGATAGTCTGGATTTTTAGATGTGGGAACATTCTGGTTCTGAGTCGAAAATCCACATTTTCAAATGTCTGTATGTCTCTGCACTCGGAAATCATGGGATTTTTAATCTGGGTTTCTTTCCGGGTTTTAGATGTTTGTTGCTGATTGGTCGGTTGCTAAAAAGAAGGTGACAGTTGTGTAGAATGTGAAAAAATTGTGTGCCGGAAACTTCATGAATGTGTGAAGGGCACATTTTCTCTGGCCAGGACAAAGTTGTGCCCCCATAGTCAATGTTGTATATCTTTCCACAAGAAGAGCAATCAGGAATAGACATGTATAACCCAGGAACAACACCCTGTCTATACAGATGGCTCTGCATCTTATATAACCCAGGAACAGAACTTATACAATGATTCGTATCTTCACATCTTAAGTTTAAAAAACAAATCTGCTGAAATTTCTGGTGGAAGTCCCACGGCAGCCATCTTGGGGGCTGCAAAATCTCATGACAAAGCAGCAAATGTGGATGATGGAGACAGAAATCCCAGGACCAACAAGTCTGTATCTGGATATCTGAGGTCCTGGTTTTGTTTTGTTTTTGTTTTTGCTCCTTACTAAAGCACGAAATTTAGTGCTGTCTGGAAGCACCCTAAGAAAACTGACAATGGGACTGAGCATATTTTACCTAGATTAATAAATAATAATAATAACACTTTATTTATATTCTGCCCTTCTCACCCCAAAGGGGAGTCAGGGAGGATCACAGAACATATACATGGCAAACATTCAATGCCGCTTTGTATAGACAATACCCAGACAGACAGAACAGGAGGTGGTGCCATGAAAGGTTGGTCTCGAATCCAGGAGGTGCTGTTGCTCTATGATGAAGAGCCGTCAGGACTTCCTCCTTCCTTTTGGGCGCCCAGCATTTTCTGATTTTCTTTCTTTATGGTGTCGTAAAACACCTCCCCCGCTATTTAGCAGTACCTAATTTCTCTAATCACAGCTAAAGCTGTTTTCGAATTGCTTAGGTAGACAATGAGCTAGGTTGATAGTTTGCAGCTCACGCCAACTTGGGCCTTCGAACTGGCACCCTTTTGGTTGATAGATCTTATAATTGCTGAAGATTTACCAGCTGTGCTAAACCTCCGGCCCAAACTATTGATGTGTTTAGTAAGAAAATGTACATAATGTTTTGTGTACATTTGAAACAGGTGCACAAATGTGCTTTAGACAATTAGAAAAAATATGTGCAAACAAGTACATTTGGGAAAAACATTCATAAAGATGTTTGAAATAGGGAAAATGTATTGTCGAAGGTTTTCATGGCCGGAATTGCTGGGTTGTTGTGAGTTTTTCGGGCTGTATGGCCATGTTCCAGAACCATTCTCTCCTGAAGTTTCGCCTGTATCTACGCCAGGCATCCTTAGAGGTTGTGAGGTCATGACCTCATAACCTCTGAGGATGCCTACCATAGATGCAGGCGAAACATCAGGAGAGAATGCTTCTGGAACATGGCCATACAGCCCGAAAAACTCACAACAACCCAATAGGGAAAATGTTTGTCAACTTATGCTTAGATTTCCATGCAGGAAAGTGGAAAAGGTTTCTCCACTCCATTCAAGAACTGAAATGTGCTGATCAGATTCCTGTTGGATTCTGAGAAATTCGATGAAAGTAAAACGGGTAGATTCGCACATCTCTAAGAATGTTTATTGAAGGCATTTGGCTGAAAGACTGAAAATGACACAGCAGATATAGTACCTGAACATCTTTCCCTCTGTTGACCTGACCTTTTCACTTTTCTGTCCCTTGTAGCTCTAAGCTGCCCTCCGAACAGCCACTATGAAATCTGTGCTGATCTGTGCTCTGTTGATTGTGTGGGGCTTGGTGACTTCCAAGTGTGCCCTGAGATGTGTGCGGAGGGCTGCCAATGTGATGATGGTTTCTTCTTTGATGGCCTTGGCTGCAGTACAGCGGAAAACTGTGGATGTTTTGGGAATGGAAGCTATTATAAGGTGCTGCCCCACATATAATGTTGCATACCTTGTTAAATATTAGAGTAACTGGAAGATAAGAGCTGCCTTATATTTTACCAAACAATTGTTCTTACTAGCCCTGTTTTATCTGGTCAAGTGTCACAACTACCCATGCTCTTGGGAACAGGTTCCTGCTCTGGTGCTTTTAAATGGTAAACCAGGAAGTGAACTTCGAATTTTATTTTCATCATATGGGCTACACAAACAGAACTGCTGGAAGAGTTAGCTGGGGTGGTTTAGTTTATCTGTCCCATAAAACACTATAAAAATGCCAGCACTCAAGTTTAGGTAAGAAATTGCCAGTTATTTTCTAGAGGAACCCAACCAGTAAATGGTCTGAGTTGCTCTGGACTCAATAGTTAACTCATCTAGCAGAGTTTACTATAGGAAAGCAGAGATTAGATGCATAAAATTTCCATTGGCTCTGCAAATTCCGCCTTTTTGATTAGAAAAGAAAAAAGCACCATCCTCCATTGCCTTCTAGTCATTGCATCACACCAAAATACCTGAGTTACTCTGGACCGTGCTCTGAGTTCTAAGAAGCACTGCTTGAATATCAAACAAAAAGTGGGTGCTAGAAATAATATCATACGAAAGCTGACTGGCACAACCTGCAGATCACAACCAGACACAGTGAAGACTTGTACTCAATACGCATGCCCAGTGTAGAATACCTCTCACTACATTAATACAGTGGATGTGGCTCTTAATGAGACACGCCGCATTATCACAGGATGTCTACGCCCAACACTGCTGAAGAAATTATACTGGTTTAGCTGGTATTGCACCACCTGACATCCGTTGGGAAGTAGCAGCCTGTAATGAAAGGACCAAGGCATTGACATTTCTGGCCCATTCTCTGTTCAGATATCAGCCACCTAGCCAACAAGAAGAAAGAAACAACTTTCTAAGATCTACAGAGATACTTGCAGGAACACCTCAGCAAGCAAGAGTCCAAAAGTGGCAGGTTAAAACTCTGAACCTCAATCAGTGGCTGAGGCTGGATGAGAAACTTCCTCCTGAGCATGCAGAAGATTGGGCAAATTGGAAGTCGCTGAACAGGATGCACTCTGGTACCTTGTGATGCAGAGCCAACCTTAAGAAATGGGGCTACCAAGTGGAGTCCATGACATGCAAGTGTGGAGAAGAGCAAACAACAGATTCCTTACTACAATGCAGTATGAGCCCCGCCACATCCACAATGGAGAATTTTTTTACAGTGACACCACAGGCACTCCTTCTGGTCAAAGGACATTTAGTATAATGCCAAGTTTTAAACTTTGTTTATGGTTTTCTATACATTATAACTGTATTCTCAATTCAGTTCTGACATGATAAATAAAATAAAATCTCCCCTCTTTCCTTCACATGAGTTTAGGAGTAGTCCCCATAATAGTTGGAGATGTAAATGGATATTCCTCATGGCTATGTGTTATTATGAGCCATGTTTATTGTAATGCAACATATATTTGGATAGCTGAGCTTGAAAGTACAAAAGAGGTGTTAGCTTGATAAAAATCCAGCTTCTGCCAGAGATTAAAAGTATTGTAAAAAGTTTGATGACAACAGGAATGAACAGAGCAATTTTGGACTGTCTTTGAGAAGCTAGGTATATGAAATGTTGCTATGAGCAGCTGTACTACTACATGTGGCTGTATTTAATGGTTTGTTTTCCCTTGAAAAATGTCCTCATTACAGCCCAATGAGAAAGTCCTGCTGAATGAATGCCAACAAGTCTGCAGTTGTGTTCCAGGTCGAGGAGTCATATGCGAATCCCACAGCTGCTCTTCTGATGAAACCTGCAAGATCCAGAATGGCATAATGAAATGCGTCAATAAAGGTGATTGGTTGTGTTTTTAAAGAGGCATTTCAATGGTACAGCTGGGACAAGCCCCCCTATTTCAACTGTACAGAGAACCCCACATGTAGCTTTCAGATGCAAGATAAGAAAACTGGCCTGATGAGATTGTGTTATTTGAACTGTCTCTATGTTGCAAAGTCTCTGTATCACAGCATCCCGAAACAAACGGGACAAGTTCTATTGGTTGTTTTAGGAGGCATAGACCTTGTGACAGAATGGGCTGAGTCATCTTGACTGCTCCAAAACACCCATAACTAAGGCAGAATCTCAGGACACTTAAGCATGACATTAAATACATTTCTGCATAGGGTGAAAATATTAACATTTTATGCAGCAATTTGTATTTTAGAAACCATATATTTTGAATACAAAAACATATTATTTAATCTTATCCAATTTGCCACGCAACCCTTGCAAATTTGTCATGATAGCTTTATCTGTCAACCCTACAGACATGGGCTGGATTTACACTGCCATATAATGCAATTTCGGACTGCATTATATGGCAATGTAGATGGGGCCATGGTGGAGTTAGACAAGATCCTGGGTAGGTCTTGAGCTTGCTGGGGGAGACTGGGAATTGTAGTCAAAACAGCAACTCTTACAAGGTCTGGTCATGGGTGCATCTGCACCATAAAATTAATGCAGTTTGACACTACTTTAATTGGCATGGCCTAATGTGGAATTGGAGCCTCTGGTGGTGCAGTGGGTTAAACCACTGAGTGGCTGAACTTACTGACTAAAAGGTTGGCGGTTCAAATCCGGAGAGTGGGTGAGCTCCTGCTGTTAGCCCCAGCTTCTGCCAACCTAGCAGTTCGAAACATGCAAATGTGAGTAGATCAACAGGCACAGCTCCAGCGGGAAGGTAACAACGCTCCATACAGTCATGCTGGCCACATGAACTTGGAGGTGTCTACTGACAATGCCAGCTCTTCGGCTTAGAAATGGAGATGAGCACCAACCCCCAGAGTTGGACACGACTGGACTTAATGTTAGGGGAAAACCTTTACCTTTACCTAATGTGAATTCATCAGAGCTGCAGTTTTACAAGTTCTTTAGCATTTTCTGCCCAAGTGTCCTGGTGCCTCACCAAATTACAATTCCCAGGGTTTCATAGCATTGAGCCATACAGTTAAAGTTCTGTGAAATTTCATTAATTCTGCAGTGTAGATGCATCCCATGTTTTCTTTTAAAATAAAGGCCTTTCCAATAGGATAGCTCTCTCTCTGCCCAACATACTGCAATTTCTTCTTTCAGATCCTTGCCAGGCATTAAGGTGTCGGATCAAGGAAACATGTAAAGTGGAGAATGGCAGAGCAACCTGCGTCCCAGATTACAATGCCACTGCCTGGGGCTGGGGAGACCCACATCTCCACACCTTTGATGGCCTGGACTTTAGCTTCCAAGGCACCTGCACCTACACCCTTTGCAAGTATTGTGGCAATGACCCCACCCTGGTGCCATTTGTGGTGGATGAGAAGAATGATAACCGTGGCAGCCAAGCCATTTCCTACGTGAGAGTGGTCACCATCTCTCTCTTAGGGTACAACATCTCCGTCCATAGGAAGGAAGTTGGTAAAATCCGGGTGAGTTCCATGCTGTGGTATCTGTATAGGTGAGCATTAGGACAAGAAGAGAAGAGCCATTTGGGTATGACTTGCTGGTGGGGTTTCTGTCATCTCCAAATTTGAGATCCTTTAGGGGAGGCTTTCTCTTAGTTACAAAACCATCACAGGCATTTTGGGTGGGACATCTGAAAGTACTTTCTCATGGCTGCTCCCAAGAACTCCCTCTCACCAGAGGTTAACTTGGCTCCTCTGCTCTCCTTCCTGCCCATTGCAGACCTTTTTATTCCAAGAACATTTTGCTATTATCTGGTTAGTGTAGTAGGATTTTGACTAGTTTCTGGCTCCTGCCTTGTCAAGCTAATCCCTTATCACAGAAAATAAGATTGTATTGATAATGCTGTAGTCCTCAGTTGTGCAGTGGGTTAAACCACTGAGCTGCTGAACTTGCTGACCAAAAGGTCAGCAGTTCAAATCCAGGGAGCAGGGTGAGCTCCCACTGTAACCTCCAGCTTCTGCCAATCTAACAGTTTGAAAATATGCAAATGTGAGTAGATTAATAGGTACTGCTCCAGTGAGAAGGTAACGGCGCTCCATGCAGTCATGTTGGCCACATGACCTTGGAGGCATCTATGGACAATGCCGGCTCGTTGGCTTAGAAATGGAGATGAGCACCACCATCTAGAGTCAGACTCGACTAGACATAATGTCAAGGGGAAACCTTTACCTGACTATTCTAAAGCCTTTGACTGTGTGAATCATAATGAATTGTGGCAATTTCTTGGTGGTATGGGGATATCAAGCCACTTTGTCTGTCTCCTGAGGAAAACCGACGTTCAAGGAAAAAAGTATAGCAGGGCTGTATACTCTTACCCAGGGGTCCCCAAACTACGGCCCGTGGGCCAGATCCGGCCCCCCGAGGGCATCTATCCGGCCCGCGGGCTGTGGAGAAGGGTGAGAGGTGGGTGAAGGGGGAGGGAGGCGGCGGGCGAAGAGGGGAGGGCAGCGGGCCAAGCGACTTGGGCCTGCTTGCCCGTCGCCTCCGTGGGCCCAGCCTCCCCTCCCTTCGGGATGCATCTGGATGCATCCCGGAGGAAGGAGAGGGGGGGGAGGCAGCGGGCCAAGCGGCTTTGGCCTGCTTGGCTCACTGCCTCCGTGGGCCCAGCCTCCCTTCCCTTCGGGATGCATCCTGGATGCATCCCGGAGGAAGGAGAGGGGGGGAGGCAGCGGGCCAAGCGGCTTGGGCCTGCTTGGCTCACTGCCTCCGTGGGCCCAGTCTCTCCTTTCGGGATGCATCCTGGATGCATCCCAGATGAAGGAGAGGGGGAGGAGGCAGCGGGCCAAGTGGCTTGGGCCTGCTTGGCTCGCTGCCTCTGTGGGCCCAGCCTCTCCTCCCTTCGGGATGCATCCTGGATGCATCCCGGAGGAAGGGGAGGGGGGGAGGCGGCGGGCCAAGCGGCTTGGGCCTGCTTGACCCGATGCCTCCATGGGCCCAGCCTCTCCTCCCTTCGGGATGCCCACCTCGCTGCATTCCGGAGGCAGGAGTAGGGGGGGCTTAAATCCAGTCATGTCCGACTCTGAGACTCTGCTGCTCATCTCCATTTCTAAGCCGAAGAGCTGGTGTTGTCCATAGACACCTCCAAGGTCATGTGGCCTGCATGACTGCATGGAGCGCCGTTACCTTCCTGCCGGAGCGGTATCTATTGATCTACTCACATTTGCATGTTTTCAAACGGCTAGGTTTATATTTATTCTAAATTGCTAAGTTTATATTTGTTAAAATAGTTCTTCATTTTAATTATTGTATTATTTAAAGTGTTTTTTGCACTACAAATAAGATATGTGAGGTGTGGATAGGAATTCATTCATTTTTTTTTTCAAATTATAATCCGGCCCTCCAACAGTTTGAGGGACTGTGACCCGGCCCTGTGTTCAAAAAGTTTGGGGACCCCTGCTCTTACCCAACCTATTCAACTAGAATAGGAAGGACAAGAGACCTCTTCCAAATTTTTTAGAAACATTGGAGGTAAATTTCAGGCAAAAATGGACATGATCAAAAACAAAGATGGAAGCAACTTAACAAAAGTTGAAGAGAGCAGATGAAGGTGACAAGAAGGATAATAATATTGAGTATAGCTTTGATGGTGTGGTGAGTGAATTAGAACCAGATATCCTGAGGAGTGAGGTTGAATGGGCATTAAGAAGCATTGCTAAAAACAAGGCAGCAGGAGATGATGGGATCCCAGCTGAACTTTTTAAAATCTTGCTTGTTTACATGTATGTCCCTCTTTTTCAGCTGAATGGTGTTGTCACAAACTTGCCGGTAACTCTGGAGGATGGGAAGATACAGCTGTTTCGGAGTGGTTTGACCGCTGTCTTGCAAACCAACTTTGGCCTAATGGTTTCTTATGACTGGACCTGGACAGTGGAGATCACTTTGTCCAGCAGTTACTATGGCAGCACCTGCGGTCTTTGTGGAAATTTCAACCAAAATCCAGATGATGACATGTTGATGCCTACAGGGATCATGGCTTCTTCTGTGGTGGAGTGGGCTGCAAGCTGGAATGTCCCAGATCGTGACCCTTTCTGCTGGCATGTCTGTGAGGGGAACTGCCCTACTTGCGAAGAAAGCAAACGGCAGCTCTTTGAAACTGAGGAATTCTGTGGGCTCATCAGCAAGTCAAAGGGAGGCCCTTTCCAAAAATGCCACACTAAATTGAACCCCAACAGCTTCTTTGACAGCTGCATCTATGATGTCTGCCTCAATGGTGGTGCTAAAAGCATCCTGTGCCAGGCCCTGGAGGCTTATGCCACCAATTGCCGCAAGGAAGGTGTGGTCATCCAAGACTGGAGAACCCAGAGTGGCTGTGGTGAGTATGTGATAGTGGAATGGGAAGGAAAATGGCATTTGTGTATTTGGTTCTTAGTCCCAACGAAGTAATGTTTACCACTGTAGTATACAGCCACGGCACGTCATGGGCAATCTAAGAGTTATGATTTTTAGCATGAGAGAGACTGATTACTTCCTTTCCTATAAGGACTTTGCCATTCTGTCTCCTCCTAGCTTTCCCCCCACTATTACACCTAAACTTTAATGTATTTGTAACATTTCTATGTCATTTTTTAAAAAAAGTTTACAATGTGAATTCTCTTCCTTTTCTGAAAGTTTTTTTAAAAATAATAATTATTGAGAATTTTTCCTTTAAAAACAATATGAAATATGTACATAAAAGACTCTAAGTAGCAAGGGGAAAGGAAAGGAAAAAAGAAAAGGAAAAAACACAAACACAATTATAGTAACTAGGTGTGGGAAAAGAAAAGGACAAGGAAAGGGAGGAAGAGACAAGGGGGGGGGGGAGAGAGAAAAGAGAGAGAAAAAGAGAAAAAATAACGTTCTGAGTGTCATCCAAGTGAGTTGTTCCTTTTTTTATATATATATTCTTATGTCTTCCATTTTTTATATTCTCCTCTCTTCTTTCTATGTCCATATATTTATACATTTTTTTGTTTCAGATATTCTATTACTTTTGTTCAGTCCATTTCTTTTGTAGGGGTCCCTTTATTTTTAGATATCAGGTATGTCAATCTGTCCATATTTCTAATGTCAGCAATTTTCTCCATCCATTCTTCTTCGTCTGGTATCTCTTCTTTTTTTCTATATTTTTCGTAACAAATTTTTGCTGCAGTATTTAGTAGAAATAGGAGTTTGTCAGTGTTTTTGTCTAGGGCCTGGTCTGTTACACCAAGTAAAAATATTTCTGGTTTCAGAGGGATCTTGTCTTTAAAATTTCCTGTATTTTGGCTTGAATATTTTTCCAATAGGTTTTTGATTTTTCGCATGACAACCACATGTGGAAGTATGACCCTTCCACTTTCCCACATTTCCAACATTTTGTATTCACATTTTTATAGCTTTCCCCTAATTTTTGTGGGGTCATATACCACCTGTGTGCTATCTTAATCCAATTCTCTTTTAATTCTCCTCCTAGCTTTACCTTGTCCTGAGAACAGCCATTATGAAGCCTGTGGAAATGCCTGCCCAGCCAGCTGTTCCGACCGATCTGCTCCTTCTACTTGTAATATACCCTGTGTGGAAACCTGCCAATGCAACGAAGGGTATGTGCTCAGCACTGACAAATGTGTCCCTGTGGAGAGCTGTGGCTGCACACATGATGGCCTTTATTATAAGCCCAATGAGGAGTTCTGGGCTGATAAGAACTGCAGATCTTATTGCCACTGTGATCCCAAGCTGGGCATGGTGGTGTGTCAGCCAAGCAATTGCAAGGCTAGCGAGAGATGCACCACAGTCGATGGCATTCGGGGCTGTCACCCCACCAGCTATGCGACCTGTACAGCCACTGGAGATCATCACTACACCACTTTTGATGGGAAAAGATATGATTTTTCTGGCACTTGCATCTACCAGCTGGTTGGCCTCTGTTCCAGAGACGTAACTCTCATTCCGTTCATGATCAAGATCCAGAACAGCCAGGGTAGTAAGGCAATGCCATTCTTTTCTGAGATTACCCTGGAAGTCTATGACAGGATTATTAAAATCAGCCAGAAGCACCCAAACATATTACAGGTATGAGGAAGGGGATTCTACTTTTAATGGTGGAAGCTTTATTCTCATATTGAAATCCTATCCCTATAAACTGGGGACAAAAATGAAGCTATATGATTTCACAAACGTTGTAAAATTGAGATGATCCAGTTAAATTTCCTTCATTTCTTAGGTAAAATGTGAATATCTATCAATCTATAGTGTTCCCTCACTTATAGGACCACCCGCGATAAGTGAAAATCCATGAAGTAGGGATGCTATACAGGCCCGTAGCCAGGATTTCGTTTCAGGGGGGGAGGGGGGCTGAATTTTTTTCAGAGGGGTTTGATTTGGGAGGGCTGAGTCTGAGTGAAAGAGGGTCTACCTAGCAAACCTTTTGTATCATTACCCCAATACCCCCATGCATATGGGATATATTGAGTATCAGATCATGATATGAATAAACATAACAGTTTAAATAATGCACCAGTAAGGCCTTTTCGCGAACCACCATGAGAATTTGGGGGGGGGGGGGCTAAAGCCCCTCAAGCCCCCCCCCCCCGGCTACATGCCTGTATGCAAGTATCTACTGCCTCAGCACGCATGAAGCATAGGACCATCCCCTCCTAGGAGTGGCTCTGCCCACTCCTCTCTCCCCCTCACTCAATTCCTTCACCTTCTCTTTCCTCTCCTCTTTCCCCCTCCCCTTGCACACCACACTTCCCACTGGCTGCTCCTTTCACACCTGGCTTCCTCTCCCCTCCTCCTCTTCCCCCTCCTCCTCTGCTCACACGCACCTTCTTTGCCTTCCACTCCTCTTCCTCTTCCTCCTCCCCCCCCCACAGTCCCCCCCCCTTTTCCCTGACAGGGAAGGAAGGAAAGGAAGCAAGCCCTCCTTGCCTTTCCCTTTGCTGGGTGAACAGAGCGAGAGAGAGCAAATGAAAGGAAGGAAAGACCCGTCAAGGCTGGAGGGAGGGAGGAGGGAAAGTACCGCGGAGAGCAGTGGCGGCTTGGTGGGGGCCGGTTTGGGCATCTACTGCATGATATATATTTTAAATTCATATTTATTAAAAATCCGTGAAACAGTGAGTCCACGAAAAGCGAACCGCGAAGTAGTGAAGGAACACTATCATTTAGCTACCTATTTATCTAACTATCATTCAGAGTGGCTGAAAACTTAATTTTTGTATAATAAATATCATTATTATTTTATGTGGGAATTTCTGTCAAGTAAATCTGTTTAGAATTGTGAATGTTTGCTGCTGCTGTTGTCAGTCCTTACCTATGTGTTGTTTTGATGGTCACCCTTCGACTGTCTTAAGGTCACTCTCTCTTTTGTAGGTAGATGGAGTATTTGTAGATCTGCCTTTCTACCATGAAGATAAGATTAAAGCTTACATCAGTGGAGTTCATGTTGTTGTAAAGACCAAGTTTGATCTCACCTTGACCTTCAGTTGGAACAGACTTGTCCATGTCAAAGTTCCAAGAAGTTACCTCAATGCTGTTTGTGGCCTCTGTGGCAATGACAACGGAGAGCCTAATGATGACTTGACCATGAAAGATGGGAGCCAAGCTACCAATGTCATCCAATTTGCTAACAGCTGGAAGATAGGCGAGATTCCTGTTTGTGTGGATGAATGCACCAGCAACTGCCCAGTGTGTAGGGAAGAACAGAAACAATTCTACAAAGGGGATAAATATTGTGGGATCCTCTTAAGAAAGGATGGACCATTCAAATCATGCCATGGTACCATCGATCCAACTCCCTACTTTGATGACTGTGTCTCTGACACCTGCAAATACAAGGGACATCATGATACACTCTGCAGTGCCATCAGTTCTTATGTGACTGCCTGCCAAGCTCAGGGCATCCAGGTTGGACAGTGGCGATCAGCCTCCTTTTGTAGTAAGTATTGGACATAGTTTAACTTTTCCTAGAAAAATAAAATGTGTATTTATAAAGCTGAAAATCTGTTCTACTTGATAATAATTTTTCAGGTAGTCCAAAGCTTAAGAGGAGCCCCCGGTGGCTCTGGGTTAAACCACTGAGCTGCTGAACTTGGTGACTGTAAGGTTGCAAGTTCGAATTCGGGGAGCAGTGTGAGCTCCTGCTGTTAGCCCCAGCTTCTGCCAACCTAGCAGTTCAAAAACATGCAAATGTGAGTAGATAAATAAGTACCACTCTGGCGGGAAGGTAATGGCACTCCATGCAATCATGCCGGCCATGTGATCTTGGAGGTGTCTATGGACAACACCGGCTCTTTGGCTTAGAAATTGAGATGAGCACCAACCCCCAGAGTCGGACACAACTGGACTTAATGTTAGGGCAAAACCTTTACCTTTACTTAAAGCTTAAGATAATCTTAACACAAATGCTTGTCTGAGGGATCTCCACCAATAATTTTAAGGAATTTCAGCACGATACAGATTGAAAAATAGAACCATATTTGTGTTTTGTGGAGAGGAGGGGAAAAAACTATAATATGATGTTAAGTGCACCTTTCACATGACATGAATGGTTTTGAAAAATGTAAATATAACCATCCCAAAGCCCTGCTAAAACAATATCTAGTTGCAGTGTTCACGGTTTCCAATGTTTTCCCTCAGGCCTCTATTGCCCGCAGAATTCGCACTATGATCTTTGTGGAAATGGGTGCCCAGTCACCTGCCACAGCCTTTCAGCTCCTGATGGGTGTGAGATGTCCTGCAAGGAAGGTTGCTACTGCAATGCTGGGTTTGTCCTCAGTGGAGATCAATGTGTCCCTATTGGGGACTGTGGCTGTATATACCAGGAACGATACTACAAGAAGGGAGACGAGTTCTTCCCCACTTCTTCCTGCCAGGAAAAATGCCACTGCAGAGAGAATGGTATTGTGGAATGCCAGAAAGTCTCCTGTGGAGCACAAGAGGAATGCAAGGTGGAGCATGGGATCAGAGGATGCCACTCTACTGGTTGTGGCACATGCAGTGTGGCTGGAGGAACCTACCTGACCTTTGATGGACATGCCTTCAACTTCCCAGGCTCCTGTACCTACACCCTGGCCAAAGTTTGCAGCAGGGATTCAGATCTTGCAAAGTTTTCTGTGGTTGTGGAGAATGAGAGCTTGGGTGCAAGCAAGGTTGTACAAAAGAATGTGATAATCACTGTCCATGGATATGTCATCACTCTTAAGAAGGGAACAACCTGGAAGGTTTCGGTAGGTCCCATTTTCTCTCTGTTATCTTGTGCAAGTAACAGCTCTCTCCTTTCTTCCTGTCACAGTCAGAGCTATTTCTGCTAATAGGCACAATGATGTGGATATTCTGACAGCAGATGCAGTGAATGTTCCCCATTTCCAACAAGCTGCCTAAGGCTACAATGACCAGGCACGGTTTGCCACCAGTGAAAGAGATGGCCCCATCAGCATTGCTGAAGTAATACAAGTTGGGTTATGTAGAGATGAGGAATTGAGAAATTATCTCTACTTCAAGTAGCACAACAGCTTGATGTCAGCTTCCTGCTTCGTTAGAAGTTTTTTTCCCCAAGAAACTGGATTATCTGTGAAACTGAAATGGTGTATGAGAATTCTAGAATGAGATACTCACTGGGCAGATCTACATCAAAGTTTGGGAAACTCCTAGGAAATGAGGTTTTGGTTTGAAGTAGCAGCAATAATCAATGTTCAATAGAGTTGTGCGTGGAATTCGTTTCTCCCATTTCCTCTGTTTCTTTTAGTACTTTGGATACTTCGGGAGCTCGTAATAGGAAGGCTCCTCCTGGTACGAAAATCAGCTCAACTCGAAAGCAAGCAGGAGCCAATCCCGGCTCCATGCCTGCTTTTCGGCATCACAGTTTAATCTTTTGTATTAATCCCCCAGCAAACAAAAGGTAAACCCTCATTCCCTGAAAACTACTCTTTCAGAAGGTCATCACTCTTCCTTATGTGGAAGTGGGAAGCCTCCTTAAAATGCCTTGAAAAGAGTGCATGGCTGGCTGGCGTGGTGCGGCCCGGGAGAGAAAGTGTGTGCACATGCCAGTGACTGCAGCTGAGCACCTCCTCTAGAGTAAGAAATAGAGTGCTTACCTGCTGTTTCTACTCTAGAGGAGGCTGCAGGCCTTGGAAAGCATGCATGCTTTCTGGGCCTGCACATCACACACATGCTTTCTGGACCTACATGCCACACACACACACTCTTTCCAAGGCAAGGAGGCAAGTTCTGTTGGAAAAAGTTTGTGTGTGTGGCATGGAGGCCCAGAAAGCACACGTGCCTGCCAGTGCCTGCAGCTGACCACCTTCTTACTTTAGAGGAGGAATTTGGCTGCAGGCATTGGCAGGAGCGCTTGCTTTCTGGGCCTGCATGTCACATACACACTCTCTTTCCAACAGAACTTGCCTCAGAAAGAAAGTGACTGTGTGGCAAACACATACACCTGCCAGTCCCTGCAGCCGAGTGCCTCCTCTAGAGTAAGAAGGTGCTTGGCTGCAGGCACTGGCAGATGCATGTGCTTTCTGGGCCTGCACACCATGCACACACTCTCTTTCTAACAGAACTTYCCTCTTTGCCTTGGAAAGAGTGTGTGTGTAGCGTGTAGGCTCAGAAAGCATGCATGCTTTCCAAGGGCATTTGGCTGCAGGCATTGGCAGGAGCGCTTMCTTTCTGGGCCTGCATGTCACATACGCACTCTCTTTCCAACAGAACTTGCCTCAGAAAGAAAGTGACTGTGTGGCAAACACACARACCTGCCAGTCCCTGCAGCTGAGTGCCTCCTCTAGAGTAAGAAGGTGCTTGGCTGCAGGCACTGGGAGATGCATGTGCTTTCTGGGCCTGCACACCATGCACACACTCTCTTTCCAACAGAACTTGCCTCTTTGCCTTGGAAAGAGTGTGTGTGTAGCGTGTAGGCTCAGAAAGCACGCATGCTTTCCAAGGCCTGCAGCCTCCTCTAGAGTAGAAATAGCAGGTAAGAACAGAAGCCTCCTTAAAGCTTGCACCTGTCTGCAGCTGAGCGCCTCTTCTCTAGAATAGAAACAGCTTTAAAATGCCTAAAATGATGGGAAGGGGATCCTGGAGACCCTCCCTCCCCCACCATAATGGTCTGATAGATCTTTCTGCACCCCAGAGCGAAAACAGATATCTGCCCTCTTGATTTCTAGAGGCTCCCCAAAACAGATTGGGGCCTGCACCGAAAGCCAGGACACGAAGAGGGTCAGGGTGTACCCCGAATGCACAACACAATGGGCACTAATCCAAGAAGGAACCAGGCAGCCTGGCTGTTTGATTTAACAAGGTGTCTGGAGTAAATACTACATCAATTGATTTTGTGGGAAGCTGAAATGGCAGATCCAGCCAAATATGGTTATTGAGTACTGGGTTTTTCTTTTAGGGAGTCAGACTTGAGTTCTACCAAAGATGCACAGGGCTGACACTGGCCTTGCCACTATGTTAAAGCACAGATACAAGTCCATCCCAAGACATTTTATAGCCTAAGGCAGAGTGGCAACTAGAATGTCACCTGCAACTGCTAAACTCAAGGTATCCCAGGCCAGCCAAATTACCTTGGTATTTGGGGCCAAAATTGTACAAGATCCCCCCTCCCCACACACACACTCCAAACTGTGAATTAATTAAATAACTAACGAATTGTGAAAACTTACGAAAAAGTCACAGTTTTTTAGTCACGTCTACTTCTAGTTTTATATGTTGCAAGATGTAACAACAAGGGGGGAACTGCTCGGATTTTTTTTTTTTATATAATCGTGTCAGAAGTGACTTGAGAAATTGCAAATCGCTTCTGGTGTGAGAGAATTGGCCATCTGCAGAGACGTTGCCCAGGGGACGCTTGGATGTGTTACCATCCTGTGGGAGGTTTCCCTCATGTCCCCACATGGGAAGCTAGAGCTGACAAATGAGAGCTCACCCCATCTCATGGATTCGAACCACCAAATTCAGGTCAGCAGTTCAGCCGGCACAAGGGTTTAACCCATTGCACCACTGTGGCTCACTGCTCAGGTAAAAACTCTGAAAAATTCCCACTGTTGCAGAGTTTTTACCTTTTACATCTGTTTTCTGAGTAGATGTAAAATGTAAAAACCCTGCAACCCATCCAGGATTCTCCTTGTCACTGTTTCCTAACTCTTGAGGAAGTGTTCTCCACCCACGCCCTGCCCATTTTTAATTGTGCAGTAGTGATAAGATGTTCAGTATGTCTGGGTTTTCCCTCCCCCATGGGTTGTGGAAATTGCAATTTATCTGTGTTAATTTTTGATACAAACACCACTTTCATTTTTCTCTTCTGTTGCCTAGGTGGATGGAGAGGTCTACACACTGCCTTTGGTAGTAGATAGGAGAGAAGTTTGGGTCAGTCAAGAGGGGAAGAATATTGTGGTCCACACAGATTTTGGCCTCAGCGTTCTCTACGATTCCTCCCATTATCTTCTGATCTATATTCCCACCACATATCAAGGACACGTGTGTGGTCTCTGTGGCAACTTTAATGGTGACAGGACTGATGAATTACAACTACCGAGTGAGGTGATCACTCGGAATGTGACCGAATTTGGAGCATCTTGGAAAGTGTTGGTTGATGATACCAGATGTACCGATGGATGCAGGCACAACTGTCCCTCATGTGATGCCACAAAGACAAGGCAGTACCAGGCTGAGAGTGCCTGTGGCCTTATCCTAAGCAAATCAGGCTCTTTCAGTGACTGTCATGCTTTTGTCAAGCCTACTGAATATTTCAACCGTTGTGTGTATGAAATGTGTGTTGCTGATGGGGCAAAATATGCCCTCTGCCAGAGTCTTCAAGCCTATGTGGCTGCCTGCCAAGCAGCAGGAAGAATTGTCAAGTCCTGGAGAACTTCCTTCTGCCGTGAGTTTAAAAAAGCATCTGCTTCTAGGGCTGCCATAGATAAGCAGCTTTTTGCAATTTCTTATCTCCCTGCCGCTCTTGGCTATTCATACTTTACCTGTCCACTGGTTTTTCTTTCCCTGGGAGCTAGTTTTGTGCAGTGGTTGCAGCAGCAAACTGCAGCTTGAATTCGAATTCCTACTAAGGTTTGCAGAATGGGCTTGGGCTGAGGATCAACAGGTGTTCCTTCAAGAGGTGAAAGATGTCTGTTTGTCGGAGGATGTGGTTCGCCTCTACTGTGTATCTTGCATTAAGAATGTTTTCTTTTGTGATTGGCCAATGAAAGGTAAACAGTATTCCCTCCCCCTCCCTCCACAAGTCAAATAGTAGAACACAATCACAAAGGAAACCTTGCTGTGAAAAGGAAAATCTGACAATTACCAGAAATAGGCAGTCCCCATAATATATAATTTGACCCAGAGCTAGAACCCAAAATTACCATATTTTCCAGCATATAAGATGACTGGGCATATAAGACGACCCCCCAACTTTTCCAGTTAAAATATAGAGTTAAGGATATACTTGCCGTATAAGACTACCCCTCTTCTAATGCACACCAAAAAAAACAAAACAATTTGATTTCAAAATGGTAATTTTCCTATTACCGTGCCTCCTTCTCTGCCTCTCAGATATCACACATGTGTGCCTGCACCACTTCATTGTAGTTCTCAGGAGCGAGATCTGAGAAGCAGAGGAGGTACGGCAATAGGATACAAGGGTGGGCCAGATGGGTAAAAGAGGCGTGTTTTTCTGGGCACAGCACTGCTCTATCTCTTTTTTCCATATCCTGGGCATCCCAGATGCCTGCAGCTTTCTCCGTCCTTCACTTACACCTTTCCGGTGAGGTGCCCCCTCATCTCATCATCGGGACCACATTAAGTCACTTATTTCCATATTTTATTTATTTATCGTGTCATCAGCAACCAGACATTTGTATTACATTTTTAACAAAAACAAACAAACAAACAGACAAAACACAGAATTTGCAAGCTTGGTAGTTGATTAAATGTCCTTTGACCAGTAGTTGGCCACTTGGAGTGCCTCTGGTGTTGCCGCAAGAAGGTCCTCCATTGTGCATGTGGCAGGGCTCAGGTTGCATTGCAGCAGGTGGTCTGTAGTTTGCTCTTCTCCACACTCGCATGTCGTGGATTCCACTTTGTAGCCCCATTTCTGGCTCTGCATCTCGTGGTGCCAGAGCGCAGTCTGTTCAGCGCCTTCCAAGTCGCCCAGTCTTCTGTGTGCCCAGGGGGGAGTCTCTCATTTGGTATCAGCCATTGGTTGAGGTTCTGGGTTTGAGCCTGCCACTTTTGGACTCTCGCTTGCTGGGGTGTTCCAGCGAGTGTCTCTGTAGAAAGCCATTCTTAGAAAGCCATTCCTTATTTCCATGAATCCTGGTGAGTGGATTTTCTCCTACCGTACTTCTACAGTGCCACCCCTGCTGCTTTCATAAGGTAACTGCATACAGCGAGAATGTGGCCACGGCCGTTTTTGAGCTCCCCCCATCATATGTGGTGACTGCATATTCTCAAGTCCAGCTTGGAAGTTTCAGCACCCGCCCTACAAAATGATACCCAGAATATACTATGACCCTTGACTTTTGAGAAGATTTTCCTGGGTTAAAAAATAGTCTTATAAGCCAGAAAATACAGCACTGTGAAGAGTTTCCTAAAGGAAGAGCAGGTTTGTGCTATCAAACGTAGTCCCTGCACCCTTGTCTACCAATATGCTTCCTCAGACCTTGGGAATGTTTCACCAAGTAGCTTTTCTTCCTATGTTATCTTCATAGTGTCCTTATGAAATAGCTCTGCTGTGTTTCCCTTGTCTGCTCTCTTCTCAGACCCACTGGTTCTGCCTTCCTGAACCCTAACTTACTCCTATTCCTTTCTTGGGCATTGTGTTTAGGATGTGATAAATTTTGTCAATGGCTGAAAGTAATACCTCTTCCAACCCCTTGACAACATCAGGAGACCTTCGTCAATCACTGTCAAGTAGCATCACTTTAGTTCATTGTAGTGAAAATAATTCAGTTGCTATTGCTCATGCCCTTGAACCATCTTTTGATATTGTTCCCAAAAGCAAAAGAATCAGATAATTTGGTCAGTGATACTATTACTGAGGTTCTCCTTTCTTTCCAGCTCTCACTTGCCCAGCAAACAGCCACTATGAGCTATGTACCAGGTCCTGTGATCTTACCTGCGCAGGCCTCTCTGCACCCCTACAATGTACCACAAAATGCTTTGAAGGATGCCAGTGCAATGCTGGCTATGTCTCTGATGGGGAAGCATGTGTGCCCATGAATCAGTGTGGCTGTATGCACAATGGCCACTACATCAAGGTAGGTCCCACGACTGCTGTGCCTAATGAACATACTCTCTCTCTCTCTCTCTCTCTCTCTCTCACAAACACACACACACACACACACACTAGATGTGTGCAATTTGGCCAAAAGGCATGCTGTATCGGGGTCCATTGTTGGCTGGCCCCTAATTCTGTTTAATGAGAAGTTACTCGAATCGGGAGGGGTTTTGCCGTTTTCATTCGACAAAGATTCGACCCATTGGCTAAAATGGGAAACTTTAAAGGCTCAATCATGTTAAGGCTTGTCTGCATGAAACCTACCTCAGTTTTAGACCCCATTTACAATTGTAGGCCTGCCAAGTTTTAAAACAATTTGCCAATCTACTGATTGTTTAGAATTGTTTTAAGTTTTAACCATAACATTTTTAAAAATAAGGCAAACAGCAAGAGAGGGTTCTGGGAATTGTAGACGCTGGTTGTGTCCATTCTCATCCAATCAGAGCATTCTCAGCCAAACACACAAAGAGAAAAACTTCAACTCCCATCATGCTCCGAGAGGAACTCAGAGGCTTTTCAATGCCCACCCCATTCAAGTGCTGCTGGGAAAGCGAGTTCCCAGCAGGGCCCTCTCTGGAGGAGGAAACTGGAAACTGGAAGAAATGGATGGATGCTGCTTCTGCCGGGGAAGGAGAAAAGATGCTACAACTAATTGCATCGTCTCCAGGAGCCCCGCAGCAGACTCCTGTCTCTGGTATATTGCAAACTCAACTCTATCCTTTCCAGGACCCAATAAAATCCAGCTCCCTCAATCTGTTTTCCTGGGCTTTGCCTGGGCTTCCCTATTTCCCCTCCTCTCCATTCTGTTTTTGGAGATTATATAAAATGGACCACCAAATATTACAAATCATTTTCGGTCAAACTGATTAGGCCCCATCTCTGTCTCAAACTTTTGCTCTCCCCTTCTGTGTTTGTGTGCATGGAACTGAGAAAGGTAAGTTGCCTTGATGGAAGATTTGTGCAAAAGTTTTTTATGACCATGCCATATGGCTGCCGGAGGTGCTCCGCTTCATCAGGGGTGGGGGGAGGGGTAGGAATCTCGGCATCTCATGCCCCACATCACTCAGCTCCAGCTGAGGTCGATCACATGGGGGGAGCATATGTGGCAACACGGGAAGCCTCCAGTGGTGGTAGCATGTGTTGGCTCCACCCTCCTTCTCCCATGCAACTGCGCCGGCATCATTTGATGGGAGCCAGTGGGTTTTGTGGGTGACCTGGGCTAAATCAGTGCATGCCACCGATTTTAGCCCATGTGACGAGGTCCATAATGCATAATGCATGAAAGATAGACTTTCATGTTCTGTGGTTGACTTCATTTGAAAATTTATGATATAATAACATTTGTTAATCTTCAAGGTATTCTAAGACTTTGTTGTTTTTGTTGCAGCAAACGAGACACCTACAGAGTACAGAGTACTTATAACTAAACATTAGGCTTGGGTAACCACGGAAAAATTTGGTTCTAAATTCGTTTCGTTTTTAGGGGGCCCTTGCGTTTCGTTTTTTTAATAATTCTGAAATTTTTCTTTTAAAAATTTCAAAATATACGAAATTTCGTATAATTACTAATCGATTCATTAATGGCGGACGCAATTGCGCAATATGCTAAAAAAACCTCCAAATGGGACAGGGGGAACTTCTGAAGCTTCCCTCTCCCTCTGTTGTTGACTGTTGGTGCACCAGACATGCGAAAATAATTACGAAATAATTACAAAATAATTACGAAATAATTACAAAATAATTACGAAATAAATTGAAAAAATTGTTTCGAATCTAATTTACTCCTCACACTATTCCTGCATGGCTCAATATTGGATCGTAAGCTAATTTAAATACGAATTAATAACGAATTACGAAATTAACGAACGAAACCGCCCAAGCCTACTAAATATGTCTAGGATTGGTTTTCCTGCATCTCAGTCTTACGCAGAACTAGGGGCAGAGTTTGGTAAAATTTCTTATTTGGACCAAAGCTCCAAGACTCCCCCTGCCCACATGACCTTATCCCCAGATCCCCTGTCCTGATACATTACATTTCCCTCTCACCCAGTGTTTTAAATTTTAATCTTTGCAACTGGCCAATTTTCAGTGTTTTAATGTTCTGATATTGTATTGTTGCTCTGTTTATTTATATTGGTTTTTGTATCTTATGTTATTTTTTACTTTCTTATTTTCTGTTGTGTTTTTGTGTTATATTTTTTACTGTATTGCTGAGTGTGGCCCGAGTAAGCCGCCCCGAGTCCCCTTGGGGAGATGGTGGCGGGGTAGAAATAAATTATTATTATTATTATTATTATTATTATTATTATTATTTATGACAGGGCTGAACAGAACTTTTTCATTGTGTGGCATTCAAAACCCCAACAGCATTATTTCATATTTCAAAAAAAGAAGTGCACACACACAAAATATGAAACTAAAGCTATCCTAGCAGGGCAAAACCCTCAATGTACATTTTGAAAGCAAAGCTTCATTTGTAGAAAGGAGCTTTTAATGAATTATTTTTCTTTCTGTAGGCTGAAGAAACAGTTATATCCAAGGACTGCTCTGAGAAATGCACCTGCCATGCCTCAGGTCGGCTTAACTGTGAAGGATTCAGCTGTGGCAAAGGGAAGACATGTGCACTCAAGAATGGCACCCGTGGCTGTGTGACTGAGGAAGCCCAGTGTATCCTTGCCCCAGGAGGCCAGCTCACCACCTTTGATGGTGCCTCGGGGGAAATTCTGTACAATGGCATATACGAGATTGCTTCTCTCCGTGATGCTTCAGCCAGTGGCTGGTTTCGAGTGTTGGTGAATGTGAGAGAGTCTGGAGATGGTGAAGTGATGGCAGGTGCTGCAGTTTATGTCTTCTTCCAAGAGACCTTTATTGCCATTAGCAGGGGCAAGGAAGTTTGGGTATGTAGAAATCTGGAAAGCCCTCACTCTTTCAGTATTTTCTGTTGGTCATGGGGGTTCTGTGTGGGAAGTTTGGTCCATATCTATTGGGGTTCAGAATGCTCTTTGATTGTAAGTGAACTATAAATCCCAGCAACTACAACTCCCCAATGTCAAGGTCTATTTTCTCCAAACACCACCAGTGTTCACATATGGGTATATTGAGTATTCGTGCCAAGTTTGCTCTCTGGATGTAGATGAACTACAACTCCAAAACTCAAGTTCAATGCCCTCCAAAGATTTCCAGTATTTTCTGCTGATCATGGGAGTTCTGTGTGCCAAGTTTGGTTCAATTCCATCATTGTTGGAGTTCAGAATGCCCTTTGATTGTAGGTGAAGTATAAATCCAAGCAACTACAACTCCCAAATGACAAAATCAATCCCCCTCTCAATCCCACCATTTGGACGTATCGGATATTTGTGCCAATTTTGGTCCAGCGAATGAAAATACATCCTGCATTTCAGATATTTACATTACGATTCGTAACAGTAGCAAATATACAGTTATGAAGTAGTAACAAAAAATTATGATTGGGGGTCACCATAACGTGAGGAACTGTATTAAGGGGTCACGACACTAGAAAGGTTGAGAAACACTGAATGAGAAGGTGGATGTGTGACCTTCTCCCTAACTATGCTGGTAAGAGATGATAGAAAGTTGCAGTCTGGCAACATCCAGAGAACCACATGTCTTCTGCCTGGATTATTGAGTGAAGTCATTCATCTACATGACATGTTCTTTCTCTGCTTGTTTATTGCAGGTGAATGGTCAGCCAGTGCAGCTTCCAGCAATTGTCTCTGAAGTCATATCTGTGCGCTTCTCTGACAACATTGTCACCCTCAGCCATGGGACATCCTTGCAGGTCCTTTTTGACCTCAAAGGTGAAGTGACAGTGAAGGTCAAAGAAGCACTAGAGGGGAAGCTGATTGCGTCCTGTGGAAATTTCAATGGCAACAGTTCAGATGACCTGACCCTACCCAATGGGAAGGTTGTGGGGAACATAGCTGAAGTTATTGATGCCTGGAAGGCACGAGATTTTATTGGCTGGTAAGTGCTTTGTAATTGTCTGATGCATCACATATTCCCTAATGCAAAACAAGGACACCTTTTTTTCATGACAAAGTATGCATTTCGTAAGGGTATTCTGCTAAGAGCTGCATCCTGGTGGTGGGTGAAGCCTGGGGTGTGTAGGTAACACTCAAAGAAAGTGGACCTACCTCTTCTCTCCTTCTTCCTCTTTGTTCTCTCTTTCATGCCTATCCAGCAGTCATAGAATCATATGAGGGTTGAATGAAAAGTAATGCCTCCGCCTTCGTAACTCCTTAACAGATGGCAGTACTGGTATGTGGCAGGTACTGGCTTGTTCAGTAGACTCTCCTCTAAAGTTCCATTTTGGCAGGAAACTTTAGCATTGACAGCAGAAGATGTCACCCAAAAGGAATCCCCGGTGGCTCAGTGGGTTAAACCCCTGTGCCGGCAGGACTGAAGACCGACAGGTTGCAGGTTTGAATCCGGGGAGAGGCGGATGAACTCCTTCTATCAGCTCCAGCTCCTCATGCGGGGACATGAGAGAAGCCTCCCACAAGGATGATAAAAACATCAAATCATCCAGGCATCCCCTGGGCAACGTCCTTACAAACGGCCAATTCTCTCACACCAGAAGCGACATGCAGTTTCTCAAGTCGCTTCTGACACGACAAAAAAACAAACCCAAAAACCCAAAGGAGATTAATCAGAGAATGCAAGCTATTTATGGCGATTGTGTTGATGTGAGTACTGTGCGTTGTTGGTGAGTAAGTTTAAAGATGTTGAGGTGACATACTTTGCACTTTAACAACACAACTGTTCAAAGCTAAGGCTTCCCACCAAAATGGAACTGTAGAGGAGAGTCTACTGAACAAGCCAGTACCTGCCACATACCAGTACTGCCATCTGTTGAGGAGTTACGAAGGTGGAGGTATTACTTATTATTCAACCCTCGTATAATAATAGTTGGAAGAGACCACATGAGCCATCTAGTTCAACCCCCTGCTATGCAAGAAAAGCACAATCAAAGTATCCCTGACAGATGGACATCCAGCCTCTGTTTAAAAGTTTCCAAGGAAGGAACTTCCACCACACTCTTCTCAACAAACTACAAATTCCAAGTCCTCTGTATGGTGCTATCCTGGCAGTTAAAGTGGAATCATACCGTTACGTCTGTGCAAGGTGACAGGAAACATGGCAACTGATTTATGTGGAGCTACAGTCCTTTCAAAATGACAGCACGTTGATTCCTTTTTGTTGGAATTCCTTTTCTTCTTTCATCTCTGTTTATGCTCTCATTCTGATTGGTTGTTTAAAATGGATGCTTTTTTACTGCAAGCTTTTTGAATCTGACTTCTGCCTTCTTACACTGTAGTATGGAGAGTATGTGCTGTGTGCTTTGAGATTTCTCTCTGCTTGAGAGATGTAGCTATTGGTGTTTTTCCCTCTCTTTGAAACCTTGGAAGAGATGGATATTAGAGTAGCTCAGACCCAATTCTTTACTATTAAGAAAAGCAGTTATTTCTTCTTATTATTATTGTAAATAAACATTTTGTTATTTTTTAAAGATTGGACTCTGCATATTTGCCTCCCAAGCTCTGAATTCTTTACAGCCATATCACATGGCACTTCACACTCTGCTTTCTAGTGAACTGATGCTTAACTTTTGTATCCTGTTTGTTTTTGGATGCTCTGCTGTCTATTTTAGGGTAGTTTTCCTTTACACTTTTTAACTGCCATTCTATGAAAATTTGAGATTTGTTGATTAGGGAGACTAGATAAAACCCTTGCCAGAGAGTAATCTAGCATCTTATCATAGCAGTACAGAACACTCTTTGATTGTAGGTGAACCATTAATCCCAGTAACTACAACTCCCAAATGTCAAAGTCTATTTCTCCCAAACTCCATCTGTGTTCATATTTGGGCATATGGAGTATTTGTGCCAAGTTTGGTCCAGATCCTTTATTGTTTGAGTCCACAGTGCTCTCTGGATGTAGGTGAACTACAACTCCCAAACTCAAGGTCAATGCCCACCAAACCCTTCTAGTGTTAACTGTTGGTTGTGGGAGTCCTGTGCCAAGTTTGGTGCAATTCCATCATTGGTGGAGTTTGGAATGCTCTTTGATTGTAGGTGAACTATAAATCCCAGCAGTTATAACTCCGAAATGACAAAATCAACTTTTTATGAGTGATGGTCACTCCTTGGGTTAATAAGTGTCTTGTGGCCAAATTTGGTGGCAATTTGTCCAGTGGATTTTGAGTTATGAGGTCAATCAAAATGAACAGAGCATATATATGGGAGTGACCTATTTAAAAGCTTTTCCTACAGACTTCGAGATGATCCACTCTATATCTTTTTCTCCAAAGATGGATGATGTTGGGGTTTAGGGTGCCAAACAGCTTCCCTGCAGCTTAGAGGGGACATTTTGCCCACCTCTTCTTTAGCCCGAGAGGCTTGGGAATGTGTTTTATGAGATAGCTTTTGAAATTATAATTGTTTGGATTATCAAACATAACTAATGCCTATTTTTTTTTTCCTTCTAGTGATTAATAATCCAAAGGAACCACTGAGATTGGCAGGCTTTTGGAAAAAGAAAAAGGTTGCTCAGAATAGAACATGGTAAATGTCAATAAAGCTATACCTACAGATTTGCCTCGAACGAAATCATTATGATCCTATTTTACCATCTTTCTCTGCTTCTCGCCCTGGAGTCTGGGCTGCTGCTAAGACGAGAGTTTACAGAATTAGCTATTATGACTAATAGGTGGGGTGCACATTCTGTGGTTTCCCCGATCCGTAAGAAGGCCTCTTGTGGATAGGATTGTTTTAGATTTCCTCCCAGCTGTGTTTGTTACATCACACCACAAAGTAATGAATTGCAGGTGGTTAGATTATCTCTCATTTGGGATTGACCACTGAGAAATCTATGGCGCCGCGATGGCACAATGGATTAAACCCTTGTGCCAGCTGAACTGCTGACCCGAAGGTCAGCAGTTTGAATCTGTGAGATGGGGTGAGCTCCTATCTGTCGGCTCCATCTTCCCATGCAGGAACATGAGAGAAGCCTCCTACAGGCGTCCTCTGGGCAATGTCTCTGCAGATGGCCAATTTTCTCTCACACCAGGAGTGACTTGCAGTTTCTCAAGTTACTTCTGACATGATAAAAAAAACCCCTGAGAAATCTGACTTGGGAAAGAGTCTCTAAGGCTAAAGCTGATAGGAAGTTGTATCTCGAGCAGCGTTTCATTATTATTTTTCAGTGCCTCCCCTGGGGTTTTAGTTCCTTAGCATTTCATGCTTCTGATTTATATAACAACAACAATAACAACAACAACAGACTGACAGTTTTGGAGCACAATATTCCTGACCTCACTAGTATGCATCGTCGATGTTGCAATCCCAGGTGACAGCAGGATTGAAGAGAAACAACTAGAAAAGCTGACACGATATGAGGATTTAAAGATCGAACTGCAAAGACTCTGGCACAAGCCAGTAAAGGTGGCCCCAGTGGTGATCAGCACACTGGGGGCAGTGCCTAAAGACCTTGGCCTGCACTTAAACACAATCGGCGCTGACAAAATTACCATCTGCCAGTTGCAAAAGGCCACCTTACTGGGATCTGCATGCATTATTTGCCGGTACATCACACAGTCCTAGACACTTGGGAAGTGTCCGATGTGTGATCCAAGACAACAGCCAGCAGAGTGATCTTGTCTGTTGTGGACTCATCTTGTTGTGTTTCAAATAATAATAACTTTATTTTTATACCCCGCCACCATGACCCCAAGAGGCTGCTTACAAGGTGACAAGGCCGAATACAGATAAAAACAAAACACAATCAAATCAATCAAATAAAAACAAACACAATTAAAAAACATCATTATAAAACAATCTTATGGCTGAGATAAGTTGAACGCTGAGCTTGGTTCAGGTAAGTGCAGGGCTTCCTAAATGGGGCCAGTAGAAAGTGCAAAATTCAAATAACTAAGGGATAGGAATATCCTTAGAAAAAGTATCATAGTAAACCGATAGGAGGGCCACAATAAAGTGCAGGACTTGGAATAGGATCAGGATAGTTCTCCAGTGAAAACTGCCTAATCGAAAGCACAACGGAACATCCAAGGTTTTTAATTCCCTCCGGAAGGTGGACAAAGTAGGAGCCTGTCTGATCTCCCTGGGGAGGGAGTTCCAAAGTCGGGAGGCCACCACCGAGAAGGTGCTCTCCCTCGTCCCCACCAACTACATTTGACATGGTGGTGGAAGCCTCCCCGGATGATCTTAGGGTACATACTGGTTTGTAGGGGAAGATGCTATCGCGAAAATAAGCGGGTCCCGGACTGTTTAGGGCTTTGTAGGTGATAACCTGCAAATACAATCCCACCCCCCCACCCACCCCCAACACACACAGAGTGTTCCACACACACAGAGTAGAAGAGTGTTAGACTGTTTTAACCTGTCTGAAAATTGTTTTAACCTGTCTGAAAATTACATGGGAAAACTACTGAATAAGGGATCTTGATTTCCCCCTATCACATTTAAGTACATCTATTACACTATGTAACAAAATATGAAATATTTTCTGTTCCTGGTTTCAAAGTATTATTTCCTGTTTAATTATGTGTAAAATAATTTACACATAGTTATTTTCCAGAAACTTTGTTTTTGTGGTTGCTATGTTGAGGTGGTTGAAACTCTACAAGATAGTCTTCATTGAAAAACATAGAAAAATGTGCTGCAGTTTAATATACCTTTTTCACGTTTTTTATGATAAACTAATTAGGAAATGACATTTATAACCCAGGAACAAAAATCGTGTTACATAGCATTTTATAAAGTAATCACCCTGTGAGTGAGCAACAATGTCATGGCTGTGCCAAATGTTAAAAGCCAAATACTCATTGAGACAGCTGTATCTATGGCCATCTCTTTCTCTCCAGCCAGTAGTATTCTCATACACACACTATTACAGTCCATGGACCCACAACTGTTAAATAGATAACATACAGGAGTTAATAGATCAGTCATAACCGGGGAAATATGCTCTACAGCAGGGGTCCTCAATCTAAGGACCGAGGGCCGGATAAGGCCCTCCAAGGTCATTTACCCGGCCCTCCCTCAGGGTCAACCTACGTCTGAAATGACTTGAAAGCACACAACAACAATCCTATCTCATCAGCCAGAAGCAAACACACTCTTCCCATTGAAATACTAATAAGTTTATATTTGTTCTTCATTTTCATTATTATATTGTTTTTAAGTGTTTTTTGCACTCCAGATAAGATATGTGCAGTGTGCACAGGAATTCATTCATGTTTTTTCACATTATAATCTGGCCCTCCAACAGTTTGACGGACTGTGACCTGGCCCGCTGTTTAAAAGGTTTGAGAACCCCTGCTCTACAGACACATACTACACGGTATCAGGTAATACCCTGATCGAAGACTAGGCTCTTTCTCAGTCTTGCTGCCACTGCAAGGAACTTTGCCACTGTGGAGGTCACCCCGTGGTGCTTGTCCTCCATAAGATGTCTGACCTTCTCTTGCGGGGAATGGGCACACAATCGGGTCAGGAGTTGGCCACATTGAGCTGTGTAATATATTTAATCTCGCTTTTGCAAAGAGTCTGTGGTAATTAGACACTGTGAGGCTGTTAAGATACTTACATAACTTGAATGGCTCAGTGTATGATAAATTCAAGGATCTAGGGCAGGGGTCCTCAAACTAAGGCCCGGGGGCCGTATACAGCCCTCCAAGGTCATTTATCCGGCCCTCACTCAGGGTCAACCTAAGTCTGAAATTACTTGAAAGCACACAACAACAACAATCCTATCTTATCAGCCAAAAGCAGGCCCACACCTCCCACTGAAATACTAATAAGTTTATATTTGCTAAAATTGTTCTTCATTTTAATAATTGTATTGTTTTTAACTGGGTTTTTTTGCACTTCAAATAAGATATGTGCAGTGTGCATAGGAATTCATTCATGTTTTTTTTTAAAAAAAATTATAATCTGGCCCTCCAACAGTTTGAGGGACTGGGACCTGGCCCTCTGTTTAAAAAGTTTGAGGACCCCTGATCTAGGGGAACATGAATTTGAGCGGGCTCTGAGCTCTCCCAGGGCAATGTCCCTCATCCATTGCTTCAATGATCCCCGTGCCATTTTGAAACCTAGATGCAGCAAAAGGGATGCTGATAGATCAACTGAAGTGACTTTCCGAGTGGCCATCCTTGCCCAAAAAGGTTTAATGGTTTCAGATGGGATATGCTGTGAAAGGCCCATTCCCTATTTGAATACAATTGTTTCCAGCAAAAGATTCATTTTCAGAATCCAGGTCCTTGTGCTTAGTGGGCATTCACCCATTTCTAGTAACAGGACTGCGTTAGGAACATTTAACAGGTCTCTTATAAACCTTTCTTGGACTCCTAAGTGTACATACATGTTTTCCCACCAAATGGCTGCATCGAAGAGAAGTTTCAAAGCAATTTTAATGCCGAGGGAACATGCTGTAGTAAAACCTTAGTATAGCAGCTCAGCTAGCCTTAGCTTTTTTGGTCACAATTTCTCTATGTTCTTTCCATGATGGTAGAAGGTGAGTCCCAGATACTGGAAGATTTTTTACTTGCTCTAAGAGAGATTTTCCGGTAGACCACTTGTATTTTGTATATTTGCGTTCAAAAACAAGAACTTTTGATTTGCTAAAATTGATATTTAGCTTGTTTGCAGTAGTATTCAAGAATTTGGAGAGATGTTTTAAACAGTGAAATTGAGCAATTGGAATAGTGAGATCCGTATAGTGGATAGTGAAACCCAATGTGCAGATACTGAGATCTGTTAAGTAATAATAGGTACCAGCAGCAGGTTGCCTGTGCAGCCATCCTGGTGAGACTAAGAAGCTATAACCCAATGTTCCCCAATCAAGAAATCTAACCCGTTGACGAAGAAAAAACCACCAAAATATTTTATTCAATCCTGTCAGCTAACAATATGCCATCCAAAGAAGCTGGCATGTTTGATACAAATAAAACAGAAATTTTAATACAGTAGGGTCTTATGTTTTTCCTGCTCATGCTGGAACTGGCTTTGCACTGATTGGCGGAGCTGGTCTCTGATGTCACACCAACTGGGAGGATTCCCTCTCCAAGGTGGAACTGCAGTGCCCACCAGCCAAATGTTTTCTCCATCCTTAATATAGTGCACCAGCATTTAAGAAGTGGAAGGCTTTTACTTTTTTCTGCATTACATTAACAGAGCTGTCATATGAAAAAAAAATAATCACAAATTACTTCTTGTCGTTTTGAGCTCTACCAGGAGCAGATCTTTATAAATCCAGTAGATATTAAATGTTCATTCAAGACCAACTCATTCCAAATAACTTAAGATTATAATAGACAGCTCAAACATTATAACAGGTTTTATTTTAATGTTGCTTGGAAAACCCTATTCTCTGCAGCTTTGCGGATTCTGACTCAGCTCAGCCTGAGGCAAAAGACAGTGTGTTGAAGCATTTCAATCCTGTGAGCTTCGGCTGTATGGCAAAACAAATAGATCTAAGGCTAAGTAGTGAATGGTGCGATTGGGAAATATTGAAGGAGCAATCTCTGTGAAACACGCATGACTAATTGCGATCATC